GTCATAGGGCAGCGGAGCGCCTGGTCGATTCAAATTTACGCATTGCGACTGTTGTGCTGCATCGCGTGCGCTCGGTTCGGCTTCATAGCGGCACAAGGCTTCCCATTCCCGTTGCAAACGGCCTTTGTTGCGCAAGTGATCTTCCATGTAAGACTACATAGAGAGAGAGAGAGAGAGAGAGAGACAAAGGGAAAGTAAATTAAAAAAATGCTGGAGCACTTCCTCAAACTTCCAACTTCAACTCACCAACACCATATGTCCGGTCGAGATATCCATATTTGTCAGCGCCGGTTCCTCGCTCCATGAAGAGGTGCTCGAACGCGACGAGGGCGGGCGATCATTTTCCTTACTCAACGACATTATACGACCGCTTGGCACCGGCTCTGGCGCACTGCCCTTGCCCGCCATGCGTGCACGACACAAATCCTGATAGTCTTTGCTGCAACTCTCTGCGCCAGCAACGCCTGACTGGAGACCACCCAACTTGTCGCGTTTCTTATCGTGTCGCTTAATCAGTATTAGCGTGACGAAGATAACAATGAACGCAGCAGCGCCAGCACCGGCAAACATGTAAGCCATAATGTGTGTCACATCGGGTCCCTGCTCGGCAAGTTCAATGCGCGACGCTGTAACGCCATCCAAATCGTCCTTGATTTTGTCGCCAACGCCAGCATGGAGTACCGTGACGCCTATGCGGCGTAGGATGTTATTCTTGACGCCACGATTGTCGTTAATAATGCGCGCTATATCGGCGGCGGTCTTGTGTTCGGGGTTGTTTGAGTCCACCCGGAAAGAGACTTCGTGCGGTTGAACGCTGTGGAGAGAAGAGAAGAGCAAAGAACGATTATTTTTCAAGCAGAGGGAGCTAAGGTGAAATGTGACTTACGTTAAATAGGTGAAGTATCCTTGCATGTGTAGTATATTGGCCAGTTCGTTCATGATGCGCACACCGTCACTCCAGCTGTCGATGCTGCAAAGGTAACACAAAAAAGGCGTATACAATGTACAATGGCTATAAGTACTGCGTGGCACTTACGGGTTCTTAACGAACACATGCGCAAATTCAGTGTCGACAGTGTGCGGAGCATGATCTTCATCGGAATGTTCCTTCAGCACCTTCTTCATTTTGCTGCTCTCCTTACTGCCTCTAATATGCGCCGGCAACACCTCTTTGTTCTCTGCCTTCACACCTTCACCGGTCTTATTGAGTTTTCCCGCTGACTCTACGGCATTTGGCGGCGGTCCGATCATTGGTCCCGGTTTTTTCACATCCAAACGCTCGTGTCGCGTAAAACCGAACATGCTGGCGAGTATTTCACGTGCTTTGGCTTTGCGTACCTCCTCCTCATCCTCGGGCACATAGACTAGACCTCCCTCTGTAAAGACTGGTCTCGGCTTCTGTGCATTACGCGCATAAGTGTTTGAGGATAGCATCGCTTCCTCTTCGAACGGCGTCAATGAGTTGCGTATGAGACTCTCCTCGAAAGCCATTTGCTTGCGTTCGGATTCGCTGGCATCGTCTGGACTTGTGCGTTTGTAGCCCGGCAACAACAGAGTATCGGTTTCATCTATGGCGTTTTCACTGAAATCCCGCGCCAATAATGGCTCCTGTTGTAAACCTTGCTCGGCTGCCAACTCGCGGAAGAATGAACTTTGCACTGGTTTGCCATTATCTGCGCTGGCCTTCTTGCCTGAGACGCGTTTGAAGGAGGCAAAATGTTCGGGGAAGTACAGATCATTGGAGTCATTCGACAGCTCATCGGGCACATAAATCGGCGCTGGTGGCGGTGGTGTTGGTGCCTTCGCCGCAGCTTCCCGTTCGCGCTCAACCACTTGCTCCAACTTTTCTATCGCGCTGCTCGGGTTGCGTTGATATGGCTGCGGATCCGGCTCAGAGGCGGCCAAAATCTGGTAGAGTTCCAAACGATTACGCGCGGCATTCGCCTGTGCTGCTGCTGCTTCGATTTCGGCTGCGCGTTCCATTTGTTCACGTTGTGCGCGCGCTCGTTCCTTCTCTAATAAGACATCCATTACATTCGGTGCCGTTTGAGGAAGAGGATCCTGTGCATCTAATTTACCGAAATGCGCCAGTTCGAGTGGATCATGACGGAGCTGACGGTCCTGCAGTTGCAACTCATGCAGTATGGTGTTGAGGCTGTTGCCTTCTCTAAGCGGATGTTGCTTCTTCAGCGGTGGATAGAAGTAACCTTCGTCAACATAATCCTCCTCGGGTGGTGCGAAGCGTACGAATGCCATAGCGCCAGCGGGGTCGATATCGGTTGGTGTGGGTGCGAGGTTTGCGCAAAGGTTCGGTGGTAGCTGAGTCTGTTTCTGGAGCGAGTAGAGGGTACCCTGAATGCGACATTGCACGTAGGGGTGATCCCAGCCGAGTCCGGCACCTTGCAACTCCTCCAACATGGTGGCGAGGGTGCGAGATTGATCCTCCGTAAGGGGTGTTCTGCGTGAAGCGAGGGAGTAGACAGAGGAAAAGATAATTAAATTTTCTCTTTCAGAATTGGTAGATGAGAATGAATAAAGGATGGTGAAGAGGGTCGTGAATATTGACACTGAAATGAGGGAAGTACTTACTTTTCAATGTCCTCAACATCTACGCCAGTTGTCGGTATGCATTTTCCAAAGATGTTATCTGTTGTAGAAGAACGTAAGAAAATTTGAATTGCGCGGATACTTTTCATTGATACGACTACTCGAGTTAACAAGCGATATGTTCTTTGTGCTATCTTAATATTTTCAACGGCAACAATATTAATGGAGAGGCCGAGAAGGAAAGTGCGCAGTTTGACGAAGCCACTCTCCGAGAGTTAGGTTAGGTAAGGAAGGCAGCGACAGTTAAAGTTCACTCAGATTTTGCATTATGATGCCCAGGCGCGAGTTTCCCCAGACCTATCCCTAAAAGTTTTTAAATCATCCTGACTCTCGGCCGAACTCTAGTAGACAATCTAATGCCGTAGTCCTTATATATATATTTATATTACTCGTCTGCAAGATCCGTTATTCAGGGCTCCGAACCTGTTCGGTTAACATTCTCCTAAGAAGCCAAATTTTTGGGTTTATAATAATAGGTTGGCGGTTAATAAGTTAGACTTTGGCCGAGTTTCTCCCCCGACTTGTGGCGACCGTCTTTATCCATGGAAAGCACGGGAAACTTTTCAAAAAGTTCCTCAGTAGAGTAACCCTAAGTATGACGAGGTACGAATAGTAATAGCGCGCTTGAAAAACAACAAAGCTGCTGGAGCTGAGAGCCTGCCAGCTGAGCTATTCAAGTACGGCGGCGAGGAGTTGATAAGGTGCATGCATCAACTCATATGCAGAATATGATCAGATGAACCGATGACTGGAATTTAAGTGTGCTCTGCCTAATCCACAAAAAAGGCGACCCCGCCATTCGCGCCAACTACCGCGGGATCAGCCTTCTAGGCATAGGTTACAAGGTCTTATCGAGCGTATTGTGTGAAAGGCTGAATCCCACCGTCAACGAACTGATTGGGCCTTATCAGCGTGGCTTTAGACCTGGCAAATCCACCATAGACCAGGAATTCATAATATGCCAAATTTTGGAAACGACTCGCGAGAAAAGGATCGACCATCTATTTGTCGACTTCAAAGCCACTTTCGAGGGCACTAAAAGGAGTTGCCTATACGCTGCGATATCTGAATTCGGCATCCCAGAATTGGGAGATACCTCTCCGCTTTAATCGGATGTTGGAGAAGATAATAAGAGTTGCCGAACTGAACCGCTCAGGAACAATTTACCTTTTTCCAAGATGGATAAGGAAGCAAAGCGATTGGGTCTGGTGGTAAACAAGGACAAGACGAAGTATCTCCTGTCATTAAGCAAACAGTCAGCTCATTCGCGTCTTGGCACCAACGTCACTGTTGATAGTCATAATTTAGAGATATAAGAGCATTTCTGGACACCGACGCCTCAGCTCTAAAATCTGCTGTGCTAGTAGAGAAAAAAAGAGACCTCACTGCGATGGAGAGATCAGGTGGAAAGGGACTTGCCTTCGCTTGGCATTTCCAATTGATGTCGGTTGTCACAGAAGAGAAACAACTGGCCTGCTTTCTTGAACTCGGCCAAAATCGCTTAGGCGGTTACAGTGCCAAATAAGAAGAAGTACGAGTAGAGTACATACATACTTATATACATACATACCTATCGTCACCTGAAATGCGAAAAGCCGTGAATAATAAAATTTGTTTTTTTTTTCAAAAATTGGTGTGGGGACCTGCAATTCGATGTAATACATCATAATCAATCAAAAAGGTAATTTAAGAATTTTTGTTATTTAGTTACAGCCTTTTGCAATTCAGGTGACAATATGTAGAATCAATATTTTTGCAGTGCAAAAAAACACAATTCTTAGAAAAGTTTGCTTTTTAAAAATTGAACTTACCATCGAAACAGACTTCGCTACCCTGAAGGCAAAGCGTCCGCACAAAATGACAGCCTGCAAGAAAAAAAAAACAAAAAAAAACGAAATAAATTAGAAAACATGATATAAGCCGAAAGCTTTTAGTACATTCATTCAAAGAGCTATTTTTATTTAGAAAAAGAAAAGTGTTAAATCACTGTGCATACAGAGCTTTTGTGTGCGGTTGAATAAATTAAGTGAAATGATAAATTGTTCTATTAAGCGAATTATATTCCTTTTATTTATAATTTATTTTGACTTTTATGCTTACATAGGAAGTGGGAAAAGTCACAGCTGCTGGTTTTACTCAGTATTGTTTCCAAATATTTTTTTTTGATTTTATATAATGTAATAATGTATTATTGCAAAGGAAAAAATTCCCCAATTTGCACGCATTGTATTAAAAGTGCCAGCTAAAGTAATGTTTGCCAAAATTTTCCTTTGTGCATGCACCATTTCTAGAAGAGTAATTTATAATCTGAAAAAAAAAAAAAAACGGATCAGCAACCAGCCAGCCAGCCAGCCAGTCACAAACCAACCACAATTCCACCGCAATTTGGCTTAAGTAAAGACCACAAAGTGTTAACTAACGTATCTTTGAAATATTGTATCTAAAGCACTCTAAGCAATTATAAGCGTACACTCGCGCGTAACAAACGTCAAAGCTTGAATGGGCGATGACGCTTCGCACAATCCCACGCGCGTTAATGCATCAAAAGCGTGAAAGGCGAAGCCAAAAAAGCAGGCGGCATCAGAACTTACTGACTTACATACACACACACATTTCATTGCTTTCAACTTTCGGCGCCTACACATCCCCCTATATTCGTCATATTCACTAGCGCGCACAAAGTGAAAACCTACATTGAACACCTACACACATGTTCGCACAGCGACAAGCATGACCGTGCATGTACGAGCACTCTCTCCCTCAGTGGCACTGTTGTAACTATTGTTGCTTTAAATGTTTTGTATGTTTTGTAATGAATCATGTATCATGTGTGAGCGTGTTTGCTGTTGAAAGCATTTTCGGAAGTCCTTCAGTTCTAAAAGCGTACAACAATAACAATACACCAACGACGCGTCATGGCTATTCTTGTGGCTTCAGCGCGCTTCGTTGAGTGTTCTTTGCTGATAAAGGATTTGATATGTGGTGCGTAGGCATATATATTTGCGAATGTATGCTTCTTTGTGTTTGTGCTCATGAATGCGTATGTATGTATGTATGTGGTGCAGGCTTTGTTAATCTTATCCACCTTTGATGCGTTGCGGCGCCAAAAAGCGTGCTTTGTTCCACCGGAAAATGTACAGCGATGACAGTTTGACGCAGGCGTGAGTTTTTAGTTTGTTGCTTTGCGAGTGGTGTGTGCTGAGTGGCAGTTTAATTGAGGTGTTTTGTTATTGGGTAATTTAGAGAATCGGATGCTAATGTTCGACCTAAAATGGGATTTCTTTTGTATGTTTTCATCAATGGAGAAAAAAGATAATATCATTTAATTATCTTAATATTTGCCACTTCGGTCGATAGCCTAGACCCCTCGAGTCTGGCAATGCTCTTATGATCTTATCGTTAGAGATGGTTGTCGTTATACTAGTTACCACAAACGATACCGTAATCGTATCAGAACGGTTATTGTTAAAGCTATTGCTATCGTTATCTTTACAGTTTTCTGTAAAGTTATACTTTTTACTATCATATTCGTTATTTCTAACGGGATCGTTAAAAGAATCGATACCGTTGGTGCTATTGTTATAATTTTAATTATCGTGATCGATATCATAATCGGTATTGTTGAAGTTGCCGCTATCGTTATCGTTTTATTTTTGTCGTTATCGTTATCTTATGCGATATTGGTATTGGTAAGCATCTCGGGAAAATTGGAAAATTATTTGTGCCAAAAGGTCTTCACCGTTCATTGTTATCACTATTAGTATGCATGTATCAAAAATCGAGTATACAGTTATCAGAATCGATATCGTCAAAATTATCAGTTATTTTTAATGCCATCAGTTACCGTTAAAATTATTGCTATCGTTAGTTTTACCATTATCGTTATTTGTATTATGTAACGATGACTTTATTGCTATCGTAATATTTATTTCTATCGTCAGTATTGCCAGAATTCTCTAAGTAGGATATCGTTCTCTAAGTAATCATCGTTAAAGTCGCGTTATCATTATCTTTTTAGTTATGGTAATCGTTGTAAGTACCATTAGATATCATTATCGTTATAATTTTAACTATTTTGATCGAGCCTAGAATCGCTATCGCTGAAGTTATCGTTATCGTTATCATTATTGTTGTTGTTAAAACCTTCATTATTGTTTTCTATATAGTTAAAGTACTCGTTAACGTTTTCGTTAATGTTATCGTTATCGATGTCTCTATCGTTTTTACTCGTTATCTTGACGTCCAATTGAAATTCAATTTGCATTCGCATGTTACATATCAAAAGTGACAGAAAACCAATATACAATCCAACTCACTGAACGAAATTCTGGTCTAGAGCTGTCATTGCTATTTTGTATTGGATATATATGTATGCACATTAGGGTGGTATAAAAAAAAATGCATATGAAAAATTAAAGTCGGAATTGTAATGCTATATCGAAAAAAAATTTACCCACACTTTTTTAATTTGAAAACTAAAAATATTTAGAGTTCGCTTAAAGCGCTCATAATTTTCCAAGTACTTTATATAGGAAAAAACAACTTTTCGTAGAAATGGTTTAGAATTCTTGAAAATCAATATTTTTTGATCGAAAAATCTGTCTCTTTTCAGGAGATTACCAGTAATAACACCCAATTGTTTATTTAACCACTTTTTCATAGCAACTATATTTCGTAGGTCCGCCAAAATGCCCAGAAAAAGCAATGAAAGACCAATAGAAAATCGTTGGTATTAAAAAATGGTTAAATTTAAATTGGGTATTATTATTGGAAGCCTCCTGAAGAGAACCATAGTTTTCCGATCGAAAAATATTGATTTTCAAGAATTCTATGCCACTTCTACGAAAACTTGTTTTTTTCCCCATATAAAATACATAGACTTTATTCTTCTTGGACCACCCTAATATACATATGTACATATGCACATACTATATTCTTGCTTACGACCCTTCACACACATACATATGTACATCTCTTTCATTTCTTCTGTTTCACTTTTAATTACCCTGCATTGCTTCGTTATCTTTGCTCTGTCTTTTCCCCAAATACCAGTAATACCCAGATAAAAAAAAATAAAAAATCCACGTCACTCATACGCCTCGGCGCCTTTTTATGATCACCACAGTCATTGACGTCAGTTTCCCTTTGGCCTACGCATTTTGTTACTTCCAGCTGCACCTAATACACATTTTGACTTTTATTTTGTATTTTTGTTTTTTTGCTTTTACAGCTGCTCCCCGCTTCCTTCCGCTTTTTTCGCTTTCATCATTGTCAGCAAACATCCTGCCGTGACATGGCCGTGTCATTGCCAAAAAAAAAAAAGTTACTTTTATGATTGTCTTGTTGCGTTGCTTTCAACAACAAAACATACGATAACATTCCCTTGTGGATATTTTTTGCGGAACATCACCTATGTTTGCTATACAAAAAATAAATTTGTCTGTTTGCATGCCCTCTAATATAACCTCGTATACATACATACATACATACATACACAATTATTAATATGCCCGGTATGTATGTATGTACGCAAGTTTGCATGTGAAATTCTCATTTGCTACGGTTATTTAGTCTAATTTTCATAATTCAGTGCGAATCAAAGCTTTTAATTGTTGCTAATCTCTGGGGTGAGAAGTGTGAAAGTTAGATAATCTTGTGTACAGAAAATGTTTAACCGTTAAATTATGATGAATTTGAAATTTAAATTGCGGGTAAGGAATTCATAAGTAGATCGAGTTCATTATTTAGTTTTTTATATTTCTGTAGGAATTATCAAAATAAAAACTAGGAGATAACTCAAATTGGTCACACCAGAACAGACTAGAGGTTAAACTCTTCAAAATAGAACTGGTTTGGTTCGCAAGAAAAAAAAAAATCCCGCTGATGAGATTACCAAAGTTGGGTATGAAAAAGTTCTTTTCGTCGTTGAAAAGGTCTGCATAACAATATTTCAAAAGTTGATCAACGAATCTCAGTTATGAGATTTTTGGATGTATTTTCAAATCGGTTAAGCTCATGTTGGTTGGATTAAGTGGATTGTCACCGGCCTGGTGACCAGCAATTAGCAAGTTTGTCATTTTGATTCAACAACTCGTGCAACCTACAGCCATTTGGTGGCTTAAATATATTTCCAATTAGGTTTTATAATTTACGTGGGAAACCTCAGTTTATTTTTGTGAGGCACTTAATATGTATATGTACATAAGTATGTAGACCGGTGGTGGGCACCGGCCTGCCCGCTGGCAAAGCTCTTTCAAATTTAGAATACACTATGAATGCCAGTGCTGACGAAATTCGGCCATTTTCAAGTTTTTTAAGATTCTTGGAAAGGTTTTGTAATTTACCTTGTCGTTTAACTTATAAGGTACATAATTACTTACCGGAAAATCTGCTTTGGAACTTAATCGTGAGAACAATTTTTTTATGTCTTTGAAGGAATTTGGCAGGACTTTGGTAGGACTTGGAATAGATCCGATACATTCCAGTTCAAAAACACTAAAATCCGATAACTCAACTAAATAGGATAACTCGACTAATTTCTATAAATTTCGCTACATATCGATAACTGTGTGACAAATTTCGATAACTCGTTAGACGCTGGTAACACGATAAAATTCGATAAGCAGTGATAGCTCGATAAACGTATATAACCTTGAAATTTCGATAACTCGATATATTTTGAAAATTCCAAAAGCTTCGTTTCGATAAATCGAAAAATTTTAGTAAATCAATAAATAACGATAATTCGATATGTTCAAAGAACTTGAGGCATTACGATAATTCGATAACCTTTGTTAATTTGATAAATTTCATTAACTTGACAAATTTCGAAAATCCCATAAATTTGTATATATAGCTCGTTAAC